CCTTATGGGTACTTTCAAAACTTTATCGGTGTGTTAATGTGTGTCTTCAACTTTCATCCATCATTACTTGTTATTTGTGAAAAATCCAAATCCTTTTCTTCATGTACAAATTGTGTGTCAAATGAGGCTATTTGATCCTTAAGTATTAAGAGGTGCTTTATTAAGAAAAGTTGTCCATCAAGTCTGCTCTGCGGAATTTAATTGACTGAAGTTAGTAATTTACCATAAATATTAATTAAATGCAAAAGATAAATATTTTTATACAATAATTGTAATAATCACCTCCTTTGCTACTATTTCACTTGTAGTCAACAGCGATTGCAAACATAGATCAACAACATCTTGAGCAATGTCATCAAATATTTTTGGCTATCAGAGTTCATAAATTATTATCGAAACGTGATTTGATATTATAAACAAGTAATGATGGATGAAAGTTGAAGACACACATTAACACACCGATAAAGTTTTGAAAGTACCCATAAGGTGCGTTGTAATGTGGGGAACCATCCACGATATAATTCTCCAGCATCAATAGCGTTCATTGATGATGCTGATGATATTGTTATCATAGATTCGATATCACCGTTATCTTGTTGAACCGCCAGTATAGCAGGAGACGAAGTTGGTCGTTGAATTTCAGTTGGCTCAGGGATGCCGTTGGATGACGGTGTAGTATTCGACTCTAAAATAATACGATCCTGCATGAATAGAATGACCAAAGTATGATAAGCTCTCAAAATATAATTTCAAACCTTTTAGTTTAGTGGGATAGTCCACATCTGACGGCTTTGGGATAAAATTTTGTATTTCGCTTCGAATATATGTTTGAACACGAAAAACAAGTCGTTGTTGTGCATCCTGAAGCACATTACGTATTAAGTGACTGAATTGCAATCCTTGTCCATCCTTCTCTATTTGTCCATTATATTGTGTAAGATTGTCTATTAAAACCGTCAATTCAAAAAAAAAAAAAAGGTAATGTTAACATAATTCCATACCTTCAATTGTTTCAGGATCTTGGTTAAGATGCACTTGTAGAATTGTACAAAGTTCTGATAAAACTTCAATATTCGTTTCATGAATAATACGGGGACGAAGATAATCGTACATATAACTGCACAACAGATCCAAGTTTCCACTAATGATCACGCAAATGCACAATATGTTAATGTACATAACGACTTTCGAGTGATATAAACATAATGCAAATGTATCGTACTATAAGTCGTCTTCACCCGTCGAGAAAAAATTATAAAATAATGAATATTCATCTGAACAAAGGTTCAGCATATATGCGTACCCGTTCCGGGCCTAACAGTAGAATGACTAATTTAAATAAAATAGAAATAGGCTTTGCATAGTGATTCAATCTTATCAATAAAACTTACAAATGTCAAGATATCTTGCCCGTCAGAACCAAGTTCCAAAATCTTTGCATATATCACAGGAATGAGTAACTGTTGTCGTACAGAAAAGTACGCATTGTAGCAGTCATTTAATAAAGAATTATATCTAAAACAATGTTAATAATTAAAAAGATAACTATATTTTTATAATTAATATTTAATAAATAAGGCTATGACATACTCTCGATGTGCAGGACATCGTTTTTCCACCTCATGCACTAATTCTTTCAGCTTTGGTGCTACTGCACGGAACTTCACATAAAACAGGGCAGTTTGCACTGTAGAATTTATTGACTTGTCATCCAAAAATGGTTCATAAATGAATAAAGTATTAAATATAAATTCATATATATATATATATATATATATCATAAGATACGTACCTGGTTTGTCTTTTTGCTGATTTCAATACCAAGACCTTTAATTGTGTTAATAAAATACATTTTTATCAAAGTTATTCCGCGAGTCATGCATTGTCTGAACCGCATAAGGTAGAGCTCGGAATCTCTGTATCTTAACTAATCATTAACAAATAAATACACGAAATAAGTAAAGTAAAAACAATTACAACGCAAGAAAATTCAGGCTTACATTACTCTGCATATAGTCTAAACATTCGTCTAGCTTTGCCAAAACTGGAATAAATTCTGGCTGCTCACAAATATTTTCACCGGGGGAATTGAATAATTTAGTAATAGCTTCCAGCTCATTGTAATAAGAAAGTTTTGAAGATATTGCATCTGCTAATGATGTAAGATTATTCTTACAACAATATGAGCAATGGAATATTAGCATTTGAGTTTCTAAAGTAAATCATCTCCATATTGTAATATTACCTGTTCTTCCAATAACTTTTCACAAGCTGTCTGTAAAGCTTTTGTTCTTTCTTCTACAAATTTGAAATTACCATCCAAATCATTAAATAATTTGACTGTTGTATCTATTTGTTCTAGGAAAGTATCACATGCTTGTCGATATAAAGTAACCATTTCAAGAAAATTCCTAAAATTAAGGAAAATAGTACAAATGTTAACTGATTTAAAAGTTTAATTTAAGTAATTGAAGATTACCAGATTTAGACATATTACATATCCACTATGCCAACCTATAGACATCCTCTTGATCTTTTTCCATATCATTTTCCATTCTTGCAAACCAATCAAAAAATTGCTGTGTAGTCTCAATTGGTTGTGGTATTCCAAGGACAGCATAGGGTGATGATGAGACAATGGCAGCTTCTGCTGCTTGAGATTCTGAAGTTAAAAGATTAGCTGTGGATCGTGACCTTGGGAGGGAAAATAGGGATGGCATAGAACCAGGATATGGCGATGATCTATGGCCGTCTTTAATGGCCATTGGAGTTGGCGATGATGTATGTTGAGGTGTTCCTGGACCGAGATCGTTTAGAAACTGGAATATTCATATAATATTATTGGAATTAAAATTTTACATGAATTATGAAAAAAAATAATAATAATTTGCTTACACCGTCAGGCAATGGTAATTCTGCACAAGCTTCTTGAAGCTCCAGCACACTCTGTTTTTGTATTTCTGTAAGTTGGGTTTTTGATTCCCATTCCTCCAGTGTTATTCCTTTATTACGTATTTGAGTCGCCATTGTTTTGTTATAAGTACAAATTATTGATATAGAAATAACCTTTTTGTCAAGGATTAAATAGTAAAATTAAAATTTACTTTGAACACGAAAAAAATTTTGATAAAATATTTTAAGTTATCTGTATGTGTGCATGCACATACATTAATTCATATCGACATACGCACATATCATGTGTCCGTAGATCGGTATTAATAAATTTTTAAACGGTAACAGTAAACCAGTTAGCACAAAAAATTTCTTTAACAATAATGGCATCTCCACGCTCGTCGGGTACAGCCGGCCGGGATTCACCAAATCCAAGCTTTAATGAACCTTTTCAATTTGACGAACAGAAATTGTTGTCTAATGCTGCTAACCCTGAGAAACAAGAATTGTATGTTTTTAATTGGTTGGCAAATTTAGAAAGAGAGTTAAAAAGAAATGACAAGGTTTAAATATTTCTATATTTACTTGAATTTTGATTAATTATTTTTAATTATTGATTCTCTTTTAGTGTTATAGAATTCTGTCCATTATTTATTCATTTTTCCTAAATAATTATACTTTAGGAAACAGTGAAAACAGCTCAAACCAACCTTGAAAAGCAATTATTAAAATTTATGTCATTCACCTCACCAAAACCCAGTAGACCAGTTCGGCAGCTTATTTCAAGATGTTTTGTAATTATTTATATAAAGGGCGATTCAAGAACTTTGTTTGATACTGTCACTACTTTACAAAACTATGTCAATGCGGGGAAAGGTACTGGTGAAAAAGAAAAGAAATTGTAAGTACCAAATTTGCTTTATTTCGCAATAAATCTTAAATTTTTTTACACCTTTTAAATGATCTTCATATAATTTGCAGAGCAGCCTTACATTGCATTGGCATTATTATGAAATCAATAGGAGATCGCATTTTGTCGTTGCTTCCCGAAACAATCAATATTTGCCTCAAGACTACCAAGAATACAGCCAATGTCAGTATTAAAGAAGAGTGCCAAAAAAAAATAATTATCATTTTAACCTCGTCCTCAAAACAAGACTATACTAATTGTGTTACTTTGATAATATTTAGCCATTAATTGTTCGTCTGGAGGCAATTAATACAATCACCAGAGCACTCGAAGGAGCAGCTAAAGGAGCAACAGAATTACTTGTAAAGGACATTATGAAACAATTAAAGGCCGGATTAAACGACAAGGCCCTGATAATCAAAGACGCAACTATCAAGGTATTTGTGAAACCAGTTTTTAAATGCATATATACTAATTACTCATTATTTCTGACATTTCCTTATTGCAGTGCATGCATTCTGTAGCTAAATACACACATCAACTTTATCCAATTACGGCTAATGAATTAGATCAGTTACTGTCTCAGATGGTCAGAGTACTTGATGGCTCTAATCAAACTATCCGCCGTTCTGTAGCTGCATATATATCGACTTTACTTGAAGGGACACAAGGCGAAGTAGACTTTTTAGCATCTTCAACTCCGAATAAAAATAAAACATCCACAACGTCACATCCTAATACGCATTCTTCGCAAACACCGGGAAGTCCCACTCTCAGCTCTTCACCGGATCCTGTTAAGGTTATGTTATCTGTTGAAGAGATGTTATCTCATTTGTCCTCAATTTACAATAAACAATCTGCGCGAGAGATGCGTTCCGCAATTATTGAAGCCTATTCAGCTCTCTTTATTAAATTGGGCACTAAATATGTGGAACTAAATTATGCGGAGATTGCTCGACATTTATTGAAAGAACTCGTGTCCCATACCAAAAATATGAACTCTCGATATGATACGCTCAATGTACGTGAACATTGTGGACTGCTGTTACGTGATGTTATTGGTACGAGACTATTAAGTGAACAAGGTCAAGTAACAGCTGTTCGAGAGTTAGTACAAAATTGGGTCAAACAATGGCCAGCATTGACACATAATCAAGTTGAACCAACGAAATTGTCTCTTGTATGTGCTGTCAATGAGATATCTGGATTATTGCTAGACTTAGGGGGAGCTGCTAGCACTGTTTCGGTACTGTATATAACCTTCGTCTTAATAAACGGAATAAGTTTACTTTCGTTATTAAGAAAAAATACTTATAATAATATCATATTTGCTAAAAGGATGTACTTGTAGATCCATTGATTAATCTTTTAAGCCACCCAAGTTACTCTGTACAAATTGCAGCTGCATGGTGTCTTCG